GTGGCGATGGAAAATGGAGCTCGATGGAGTACTGACAAACTATTAACCCCAGAACGTCTCAGTAAGGGACTCGATGTCATTACACATGCACAAGTTGAAAAGGTAATTGACGCAATTCGCCAATGTGCAATATAATCAATGACAAAGTTATTTATGTGTTTTCTTTCTTTCATAATGGCAGATTAATTTTGACTCAAATAATAAGGCACACAGTATTCTATTAAAAAAACACGATAGGAAATATGTTATTAGAGCTACCGATGGAATTGTTGTCAGTGCTGGCGCTATTGGAACACCAAAACTGCTGATGTTGTCTGGTATTGGACCTAAAATTCATCTTAAAGGACTAAGTGTGAGCCCCTTTTAGTCACCGATTAAAAATATCAAGTTACTAAAAATCAATTGATTTGTTAATCTACTCATGAATTCAATGGAATTGGTAATTTTCCAATTAATTTCTATTTACATCATGACACAAAAATACACAAATATCAAGCCTTCCAGTAGATCGCATTAGATTGAAAATGGTTCCAATCATTTCATAAGCTCATTACTTACTAACCGATTCCGAAATAATGTCGTTCATATAAGAATCAAAGAAGGGCTACTGTAGAAATGTGAGAGACAGTTTATTTATTTATGAAATTACTTTTGTAATTCTGAAATAAGGGTGTATATTCCATCTCCAACTTATTCCTTGCTCACTTCCCGTTTTAAATGACTAAATTTCGAATTATAGATAGATGTCATCAATGACTTGCCAGTGGGGAAAAATTTAATTGATCATGTACTAACCGGCATTGATTTAGTCATTCTCAACACGAGTTTATCAGTCAGTGTTACTCAAATGCTAAAACCATCATCAGCTTTGAATTACTTTCTTTTTGGAGAAGGTAATTATCCGACGAGTTTTATCGATTTATATATCTTCCTGTTTTTTGTCTTGACTTTCAATTATTCAAGTGATTTATCAATTTTCGCATAGGTCCATGGACATTTCCCGGATTAGAAGTTGTAGGGACTCTTTACGCAGATTCAATGAAGAATTTAACTAAATATCCAGATATTCAACTAATGGTGATGCCAGTGGGAATATCTCATGATAATGGTGCAACATTAAGGAAATATTTGGGAATTTCTGATACGGTAAGAAACACAGAGGGAATTAATAGTCATTAATCGAACATGAAACAAAAACAATTATTGAACATTTATTGTCAGATTTTCTCACAATATTTTGCTGCCCTCACGCAAAAAACTGCAGTGACTTTGGCTCCAGTTCTGCTTCATCCGAAAAGCACTGGAGAGGTAAAACTCAAGAGCCGAAATCCCGATGATCATCCTCTAATAGATCCTAATTATTTATCACAAGAAGAAGACGTAAACACATTAATAGATGGTAAGAACAAACTATCCTAGGATTTCTGGAACTCTAAGCGATGCAACTAACCAATATTTAATTCAAAGGACTAAAGTTCGTTGAAGAATTAGTAAATACGCGATCAATGAAGACACTAGGTGCTGAAATGAATAGACAACCATTCCCAGGCTGTGAAATTTATAGATTTGGTTCACATAAATATTGGGAATGTTATATTCGTCATCTAACGCTGACATCATATCATCCGGCTGGTACTTGCAGCATTGGCAAAGTTGTTGACAAAAATTTCAGGTATGTCATAAATTTCTATCCATTTTGATATTTCTCGAACCGAATTTATTTGAACTATCAGTTTTCACTACCATAACAGCTACAAAACCGTTGACTATTTCTCCTAAATGTCTTGTATGAATATTTGTCGTGGGGATAAAATAGACATTTACCGAAATAAAGAATAAAAAACACATCTAACACACAAAGCAACCATCATGTGCCTTCAGCTTGATAGTTTCGGCTCCTCCGCACCTACCGAAATTTATCAATTTACAAGAATTCGAAAGGATATAAGGACGACTCCGAAAAACTTCCGATCTTAACTCTTTCAATAAGTATATTCAATAAGTAGCTTTCCAGTAACATTAGAGAATCGAAAAATCGACCGAGTTTTTATCCGACAGTAAAATGGAAAACAAACTATAAATCATGTTGGAAGATATTCTAAGTGTATTTATTATAGATTATATTTATCCGAATTTTGATCGAAGAATCTACTTGAATGAAATATTTTCCGTTCTGAGTTTCATTCAAACTCATTTTTCGAGTTGATTAGAATCGATGTTGATTCGAGATGTGTTCTCTGAAATAAATCATTTTGGAGTCTAATCAGACCGGAAATTCGCATTGCTGGACAGAGCATCTCAACTCGAAAAAAGTACGGATTCTCGTCGATTTTCGATTTGATGAATGAGTAATTATTTTTGCAAGCCCGATGTTTTCTTCCGATTTTTATATAACTATTTCGAATGAATTCATGCCACAGATGTTTCCGTAATTTTATCATAATTGCTTTATTTATACAGTAATAATAGAAAATGTAATATAAACATTTTTAATTGATTGTAGTTTCAATGTCATCGCTGGTCTTCATATTTCTAATAGATTACACACATAAATACATACAAATGTATATTCAGGCTTTCAGGGCGTTAATTGCGGTTTTCATGGTTTTTCACGTGTTTGTGAACATGTATGAAAATCAAATTTACGTCCGAGTGGCATACGTTATTTTACATTTCAATGTGCAATAATCGGACAGTTTTCGGCTGCACGCTAAACTGTGGAATTTAGGAAAATTATTAACAAACATTTTTGCTTCCTTTGTTACTTGCAGAGTATACAATACCCAGAATTTATACATCGCAGATACATCCGTGATCCCAAGGCTACCGAGTGGTAACATCAATGCAGTTGTTATGAAATTAGCTTATAAGGCGGCAAAAATTATAATCGAGTCAAAACAGAAAAAATCTGTGCTACGGGATCAGTGCCATCTTGATGATTTCATACAGTTTATTTTTTTCTCTCGAAACCGGTGAAATCTCTCAAACCACAAATACAAAAATTTGTGATTATTCAATTCTCTCCATATGTGATATAACTCGATTAAACTACTTAACTTCATTGATGCCGCTTTCCTCACTTCGTAAATGTAAAATTTCATTACTTTCCGAAATATCAAGAAATTACCTTTTCCTGCAAATTCATTACGTATATATAATGTCATTATTATGCACATTCTTGCACTTTCCGTTTTTCGACTTTTATATTAACAATGAGAAATTAATAGTAATGAAGAGATGCAAAAAAGATATTTTGGGGTAGAAGATAAATGGAAGACTGGTTCCTCTCATCTGTCCCCGCTTAAGCTGCTTCCGCAGTTACTTATACTTGTAAATAATTTCCCAATATGGTAGAGGCACCATAATTGAACCATGTCTTATTGGGTACGATGAAAAAATATTACCAAAAATTCAAGAACTTTTACCATGTAATTTTTTTGAATATACCACGTCAAACTTTAAAAAAACATTAAATTTTAATATTTAGCGATGCATATTCCAACACGGCATGGTCAAAGCCCTCGAAAATTTCAGGATAATTTCCGCGTGTATCTAATACCAGACAATTCAAATTTGATATTTTTACCATAGTCCGAAATTTTTCTAAAGTACAGGTAACTGCGGAAATACCTTAATCTGTTCCTTTTACTACAAAAATTTTGTCTGTATATCTTTCAGAAAAATCGGTCTTCTAAAGCGGAATTGCAATTGAGAAATTCTCAAGAATAGGATTAATCACGTATTTTGAAAGAAATTAGTAAAGGACAGCTTTGTACATCATTTTTTACATATATTTGATTCATTATAGAATTTCGCCGACGATTCGCCGAATTATGTGCATGAAGTTATTCTATTTCATTTTGAAAATCTAATTAAATCAATAATTACCTCTATTGCAACCAGAATTTCTCCTGTCATGAGTACAAAAATAATATAACTGTTGTCAACTCTCGATTACTAATGTCCAAATGATAACCCAAAAATTTATCGATAATTCCTACCACTTCGACTACTATTCGATCTATGACTCCCGGAGTTTCTATGATGCTCACGTTCACGATGACGTCGCTCCCCTTTGTTTTCACTGTGATCATAATCCCTTCTGCTATACCTATCCCTGTTATTATCCCGATCATGGCTATAGGGATGATTCCTGCTTGAATATCCATCTCCTTTCCCATGGAAGTAAGAAGTTCCATGAGTTTTGTTGGAGTACGGCATTATACCAGATGGGATCATGCTAGATGGCAAAAGCATAGGCATCATATTGTATCTCACTTGAGGCATATGATAACCCATCAACACCTCATTAGCAAATAGAGACACTGCGTTCAGCTTCGAAAGATTCGTATTGCGGGAAATGGACGAAGGAGGTGGATCTGTTGATAACTGCCTTGCTTTGATGGTCAGAGAACGGTTGTAAATTGATGTACCTTCCAACAACTCCAGAGCATATGGGACCGATACGGCATGTTTAAATGTGACGAAACCGAAATTTTTTGGCTTTCCATCACGATCTTTTGGGATGTTCACTTTCTCCAATGGACCCGCCTGTAAATAATAATGAATATCATTTAGCATTTATTATTATATTCACGATCTTGAGTTGATCATCATCTTGATATTATCACATGAACATGCCTATCAGCTCTTCATAGTTATTCTTTTGACTTCGTACAAATCACATTGGTATAATAAACTCCCGAAGGAAGCCGTAACAATTCTGTACGTTCATTTTTTATTTAATTGTCTAATTTTA